TAAACCTTTGGACTTTTGTATCCATTCAGAAACTAATAATTAATGTGCCCAGTAAGGAAGTGTGCCAATTCATCATCAGTTGTAAGAAACAGAAAACAGTTTGCAGATGACATGATACTATACGTAGAGAATCCTAAAGATGCTACCAGAAAACTACTAGAGCTAATCAATGAATTTGGTAAAGCAGCAGGATACAAAATTAATGCACAGAAATCTCTTGCATTCCTATACACTAATGATGAAAAATCTGAAAGAGAAATTGAGGAAATACTCACATTTACCACTGCAACCAAAAGAATATAATACCTAGGAATAAACCTACCAAGGGAGACAAAAGACCTGTATGCAGAAAACTATAAGACATTGATGAAAGAAATTAAAGATGATACAAATAGATGGAGAGATATACCATGTTCTTGGATTGGAAGAATCAACATTGTGAAAATGACTATACTACCCAAAGCAATCTACAGATTCAATGCAATCCCTATCAAACTACCAATGGCATTCTTCACAGAGCTGGAACAAAAAATTTCACAATTTGTATGGAAGCACAAAAGACCCCTAATAGCCAAAGCAATCTTGAGAACAAAAAATGGAGCTGGAGGAATCAGGCTCCCCAACTTCAAACTATACTACAAAGCTACGCTAATCAAGACAGTATGGAACTGGCACAAAAATAGAAATATAGATCTATGGTACAGGATAGAAAGCCCAGAGACAAACCCATGCACATGTGGTCACCTAATTTATGACAAAGGAGGCAAGAACATACAATGGAGAAAAGACAGTCTCTTCAATAAGTGGTGCTGGGAAAACTGGACAGCTACATATAGAAGAATGAAATTAGAACATTCCCTAACACCATACACAAAAATAAACTCAAAATGGATTAGAGACCTAAATGTAAGACCGGACACTATAAAACTCTTAGAGGAAAACAGGAAAAACACTCTTTGACATAACCCACAGCAAGATCTTTTTTGACCCACCTCCTAGAGTAATGAAAATAAAAACAAAAGTAAACAAATGGGACCTATTGAAACTTAAAACATTTTGAAGAGCAAAGGAAACCATAAACAAGACAAAAAGACAACCCTCAGAATGGGAGAAAATATTTGCAAATGAAGCAACGGACAAAGGACTAATCCCAAAATATACAAACAGCTCATGGAGCTCGGTATCAAAAAAAACAAAGAACTCAACTAAAGAAATGGGTGAAAGAACTAAATAGACGTTTCACCAAAGAAGACATACAGATGGCCAAGAGGCACATGAAAAGATGCTCAACGTCACTAATTATTAGAGAAATGCAAGTCAAAACTACAATGATGTATCACCTCACACTGGTTAGAATGGCCATCATCAAAAAGCTACAAACAATAAATGCTGGAGAGGGTGTGGAGAAAAGGGAACCCTCTTACACTGTTGGTGGGAATGTAAATTGATACAGCCACTATGGAGAACAGTACGGAGGTTCCTTAAAAAACTAAAAGTAGAACTACCATATGACCTAGCAATCCCACTACTGGGCATATACCCTGAGAAAACCATAATTCAAAAAGAGTCATGTACCACAATGTTCATTGCAGCACTATTTACAATAGCCAGGACATGGATACAACCTAAATGTCCAACGATAGATGAATGGATAAAGAAGATGTGGTACATATATACAATGGAATATTACTCAGACATAAAAAGGAACAAAATTGGGTCATTTGTAGAGATGTGGATGGACCTAGAGTCTGTCATACAGAGTGAAGTAAGTCAGAAAGAGAAAAACAAATATTGTATATTAACGCATATATGTGGAATCTAGAAAAATGGTACAGATGAACCTATTTGTAGGGCAAGAATAGAGATGTAGACGTAGAGAATGGACATGTGGACATGGGGGGGAGGGGAGGGTGGGATGAATTGGGAGATTAAATTTGACATAAATACACTACCATGTATAAAATAGATAGCTAGTGGGAACCTGCTGTGTAGCACAGGAAGCTCAGCTCTGTGATGACCTAGATGGGTGGGATGGGGGGTGTGTGGGAGGGAGGTCCAAGGGGGAGGGGATATATGTATACATAGAGCTGATTCACTTCATTGTACAGCAGAAACTAACACAACATTGTAAAGCAGTTTTACTCCAAAAAAAAAAAAAAAAAAGACCTGGGTTTGAGAGTTGAATGTGACTTTCTTTGCAAACTGAGGCAGGTCGTCTGAATTTTCTGTAACTTAGTTTCCTGCCTCACAGTGATATTGTGCAGAGACTCATACAAGTATGTTACGATATACTTTCTGTTTTTTGTTTTATGGAATCTTCCTCAAGAGACAACTCTATTTTCTCAAAATACTGCTCATGGTTTTAATGTTGTTTGAGGTAAAATAAGGAAATATAGGAGCCAGTTAGTGCCACAAGTTACCTATTCTAAGAACAAGCTTATTCTGAAAATTGCTGTCCTTCCATTGGCAAAATCACACATTTGCTTCTGTTGTGGGGTTGAGGTTGATCCAAGAAGCAGTAAATTTCGACTGTGGCTGCCACTTACTGCCAGCCTTCATCTCTTACTGCCTCCTAAACACATGCTTCACGCACAGTAAGGTTATTTAACACCGGTTCTTAGTTTTGCCAAGTGATCTTCAGTGACACAATTCCTGACAATAAAATAAAATAGAAGCCAAAAGACAAAACCAGCATGAAATCTGTAGGTAGCACGATACAACACTAGGACAATGGGGATGGGACTGGTAAAGGTCATTCTCTGGCTACACTATCAGTTGAAAATATATGGGAATGGTAATAGTAAATTACAGCTGGAGAGGAGTTGGCCTTCACTTATTCTATGTCGTGGTGGGAAATGGGGTGGGAATTGACAGGTGAGTAGTAGAGGGAGGGGAAGAACAGTAAAGGAGACTAGAGAGACTGGGCGGAACATGAGGAATGGGAGGACAAACAGTATAGGCATCCAAGCGCAACTGAGATTTAATTAGATTCTATTTTAGATTATGTCAAATAACACTTTTACCCATGTAGCAATTGGGAACTGACATTTAATTAGTGAATGACAAGCAAGATATAGCAAGGTGACATGGAACCACTAAAGAATAAAGCCATCATTATTTCTCTCGCAGTTTATACTTGCAAAAATTTTGTATTGTCCTTTATTAAACCTTTGAAATATTACTGTGAGAAAGATGGATAACGAGAACTAGCTATTGACTCTCTCTTGTGGGCTAAACAAAAGGAAATTGGCTTAATTGTAGTCAAGTAAAAATGTCTTGGCTAAAAAGCCCATATCTGTGCTAAAAAGTATTCCTAAATGAATTGCCCTTTCAGTAAACAGCTATTGAACCTACTAATTTTTATCTTTACAATACATCAGCTTTAAGCCAGGGTGATTACATTGGAAGACCCAGGGTTGAACACAGACGTAGAAGGCAAAGGCAGCTTTCTACACTGTATGTTTAACACTCGCTTGCCCTCGAATTCTTCCCAAAAGACTGCCACATTTCCTGAAATTTTCACATTTTTGACTCTTTGGGATGAGTCACTGAGGACCCCCACTGTGGAAAATTGTATCTGGACTACACTGTACTTAATTTTAGCCATCTGCATTCACCTAATTTTTTTAAGAATAATTCCCAATCATCTAAAAAAATTCCAAGAGAATGGAACGTGGGAGTGGGGAAGTGAATGAAGAATTGTTTAAGACAAAAGTTACCAGGTAAAATTCCCCAGTGGTGGCTTGTGAGCATGGAAATCCCTAGAGAAGGAGGCCATCCATTTGAGATTACAAAGAACATGTCCAGTAATTGAATTATTCACTCAACAAATATTTATTGAGCCCATATAATAATGCAGAAGACACTGTCCTTGGTGCTGGGGCTAGGGTAGTTAATAAAACAGACAAAAATCCCTGTCTTCATGGACCTTTCATTCTAATGGGGAAGACAGACAAAAAACAATGATAAATGAGCCAACTATATATATATAGAGAGAGAGACAGAGAGGCAGAGAGACACAGAGACACAGATAGAATGTGTGTTAAATATTGACATGGGTTAAGGAGAAAAAGAAAGCAGGGCAAGGGGACAAGAAGTTGTGTGTACGTGTGCTTCCCAGAGAGGAGCTTGTAATTTTAGAGAAGAAAGTTGTTGTTGATTTTTTTTTTTTTTTTTTTTTTTTGTGGTATGCGGGCCTCTCACTGTCGTGGCCTCTCCCGTTGCAGAGCACAGGCTCCGGACGCGCAGGCTCAGCGGCCATGGCTCACGGGCCCAGCCGCTCCGCGGCATGTGGGATCCTCCCGGAC